CCAATTTCTCAAAAATGAGATTTTAAGGGATTCAAGAAAGCCTTGGAAAGCATGACGTTTTGATTTTTGTGTGGTTTTATTACACAGTAAATAATTGTAAACCGAGCCCCTGAACCCTGAACTCAGCTCAACAGTACCAATATTTCAGCGACTTTACCTTTCCATTCAGAATATCATGCACTACTGTAGTACTTAATGTTTTTTTTCTTTCCCGTTTCAGCATCTTCAAGCTCTTAGACCTTCCCCCCTGGGAGATTGACTTGTGTCTCTGTAATCTGACAGTCATGTTAAATCCTGTTAATTGGGGGGTTTTTTTCGTTTGTTTTTCTATGGTGTGGAAATGCATTGTCACACTTTCTGTGTTGAGATTGTTTTACTTTCAGCCGGTGTTTATATATTATTTAGTTTTTAAGATGCCTTGGTACGGTTAATGTTAATGTGATATTTTTTTTCGGGTCAACTTAAAGGTTATAAGATGACTTATTTTTAAATGTGAAAATAAAGAAGATTCATTGATAAAGTCTTGCTGTACTATTTGTTTAGGTCTGCAAAGTCAAATTTAGGATCTATAAATGTCTTTTGTTTCTAAGCAGAACCGTGTGAACCTCACTGTAGGGAGAATATTCAAACGACAAGAAAATAACATTGACCCGTTAGTTTTTATGAGTAGCACAGTTTAAAACCTCATACAAATAATTATTCTTAGTTCTAGGTTAGAATTCTCAAATGTAGTTCTATAGTGCATGTGTAAAAGTGAATATGTTTTTTAAAAATGGGAAAGGGTTCAAGCTTCTTTACACAGTGACTTTTTAATATAAAGGAATTAGCCTAAGGATATTTAATTACTTACATATTTCTCAATTTTAATAGGGATCCAACACCCTACTAAGTATTTTATTTAATACAGTTGGCCACATTTTTGCTTGTGTCTCAGGATATAAACTAAATCCTTCTTGCCTATAATTCAGTGAATTTGGATATAAGAGTGATAGATTTAATTTTTTTCACCAAACTTCATCCGTTTCAGAAAACCATTCAGCAGATTAAAAAAGAGCCACATAAAATTGGTTAATTTCCTTTCTGACCAACAGAGGAAGTCAAAGCTCCGTCTGCCTCTCCATCACAGTTTAGATGCGAGAGAACGGCACTGTCAACCTCACACAGACTATAAAGGCAATATTCAAAATGTAAGATGTTTCCATAAATTATATCGAAATATGTATATTAAATGAAGCCATTACTCAAGTCATCAATAAACTAAACTCTCTACGTTCCGAGGCAATACAACATTTCTCACGCCTGTATATGTAGACGTGCAAAGACGTGGTTTATTTTAATGCATCTCTCACAGCCTCCTCTTATAACTGTATGTAAATGTGGAGTTGCCAATGGATTTGCCTTCATTCATCTCTAGAGTACTTCCTGCTGTAACAGGTTTGAGTGGTCGCTCATCTGCGCTTCAGGAAACTGCAGCAGTCTGCTGCTCTCTTCAGCTCAACTCACATGACATGAAACTTTGGAAATAAAGCACATGGTAAGGCCAGCTCGATTCTCTTTTTAGTGAAATGACCGTAAATAGGTGTTTTCAAACCTCCTATACAATTATTAGATGACTGCTGAAGAATCAGTTAATTCTGATACTGATATCATAAAGTTGGCCAGGCATAAAATCTAA